GATTAACTTTCTGGATTTGGTCGCCAAAGTGAAAAATTTAGTCGAATTGGCGCCTGTATTAGGCGCAATTTCACGCCCTGTTACATGTAAACGCCCCCAAGCGCGGGAAAACGCGGATAATTAAGTCGTGACTGGTTTTTAGTTTTGAATTCGATTGGTAAGGTTGATGGCGAGAGCTTTCGTTCTCTGAGCCAATCACAGGAAGGGCGTAAGCATTTAGCTAATGCATTTCTAGAAGAAGCACTTCACTCGGTTGAGAATTACCCTAAGGTGTGTTGTGTTCGCTCTTGTGCATTTAGAAGCCGAAGGAATGGTGCCGTTGTCAGTACCTCTTGTTGTAGGAGCGTAGAATTTTTTTGTTTGGTTTGGTTGTTCATGTGTCTATTTTCTTTTTTGTTTTGCAAATCGATTTAAATTCTTCGTTTGTTCATTCCACCAAAAAAATAACTGCCCGTTACTTTTTTGGCGTGGCTCTCAATTCTTGAAGTGCCCTCTCTTGGGTGGCGACGAGGAAGCTTGATGAAACACTGGCTGATATCATATAACGATCTGAAATCCAAGTAAGGGGAGGGGGGAGAGGTGGGGGAAATATTTCAAGTAATCAATTATAGCTTCATGCTACGGAAACCGGGATATCCTCTGCCTCCATAGGTTACTGGGCTGAACTTTCATTTTTATACTCCTCATTTTCCTTCTTGGAGCTTTAAAGTTCCACGTCACTTTGTTACTTAATTGTCTTTAGCCAGATGATGATATGCCTCTGGAAGAAGAAATGTGGTTTCATGGAACGATTGACCGTAAAGATGTTCCCAACCTACTGAAAAATGAAGGAGATTATCTCGTCAGAGAGAGTTCTACAAAGCCCGGTCAGTTTGTGCTGTCCACGCGGAGTGAAGGTCAAATCAGACATTTTATCATCCAGTTATCAGACGATGTAAGTGGCACCTACCTAATTTAATCTGTCTCCTTTCTTCTCTGAGATGGTGTGTTTCAAGCGCTCTTTCTCTTGTTCTTGTTCGATTCACGTAAATATTTGTTGCCTGAGTCTACGTTCGGCTACGAGATATGCAATCAGCACAGTGGACTTAGGCTTCAGTGATGATTGTGGTTTAGTGGTATGGTCGAGGAATCCTCAAGCATTAGCTACAATTGGATGTAGGCTTTAGCTCTGAAAATTCGCTCTTCACATCAACGTTCTGTTTTTTCGTACAAATATACTGAGTATGCAAATTGGCAAGAAGTTGAAGCACTTTAGATTTGTAAAAGGTAAAAGGTACACCTGCTTGAACTGATTATCACCCAAAACTGCATTCTAAAAATTATTGTGATAATTTTTTATGTGGTTTGCTTCAATGCGCGAAGAATGCTTAGTGCTTAGTGTGAAGCACGAGATTTTATTCTTTTTGGACAATTTTGCTTATGTGCACACGAAACTTACTCGCATTTGCGCACGGAGCAGAGAAGTTAAATTTGACTCGCAGTTGCAAACAGAGTAGGGAAATTAAATTTGACTGTAGCTCCAACGCGACTTGATCCTGGTGCGTCTCGCGAAATCCGCAACTAAGGTCGGCAAGCGAACTCTTCCAAACAGCACGGTGGAAAAGCGAACCTTTCCGTACGAGGCACGAAGCGCCAAAAGTGAACAACTAGTACTGAAAACCTACAGAGATTACCCTAAGGGGTTTTTTATATTGGGGGAAGGATTTCAAGAGACGCACATCATGATCACATTTAACACTGTGTGTAAATGCACATATTTGAATCCTTGCTCTCTGAAGCCTTTTCGCGCTCTAACCCTTGAACCCTTAAGAGTGACTAACATCTGATTTCTCCTTACAACATCACCCCTTAATCAAACATTAAGGTCCTGAGAATAAAGGAGATGATCACCAACTAAAGAAGCTCTTGGTTGTTGAACAAATTCTCCTTGCCAGAACCCTAGGAAATACCTAGAGAGTAGTAAGGAGAATATGCATACTGATGTTAGGGAGTAAAGGGTGAAGGAGGCTACAAGCGTAACATGTCGTTTACTTTTTTTCCCCTAGAATTTGGTCAGATTTGAAGATCAAGGCTTTCCTAGTATAAGACAACTACTAGATTACCATGTGCAAAACAGAGTCCATGTCACAAAGAAATCTAGAGCAGTGTTAGTACATGCCGTGGGCAAACCTGTCAAAGACAAATGGGAAATGAATCGAGATGACATAGTTCTACAGGAAAAGAAACTCGGCTCGGGTCACTTTGGTGATGTGATGAAGGGTTATTTTAAACCAGCAAATGTACCCGTGGCCGTGAAATCGTGTAGAGAATGTGTTTCGGCGACAGTGAAGCAGAAGTTTCTGGCAGAAGCAGAGATTTTGAAACAGTACGATCATCCAAACATTGTGAGGTTGATCGGGGTGTGTGCCGACAAGGAACCAGTCTTAATCGGTGAGTGTTGTCAGTGTTTTCACATAAATGTTGTAGGAGCTGTCGTCGAGCTTGAAAATTTTTTTCGGGTCATGCGGGTTGTCCAAAATCCCGAATTCACTACCTCGAGTCAAATGAAAAAAACTGCGCGTGCGGATCAAGTGTCAACTCGTTCTCGTATTGAACTTCCCTGCAGCTCTGCTCTATATAAACTCAAGGTTGAAAAATTTGAAAAAATTACTTTTCCTTCCTTGTCAGTGTTACGTGGCTTGGACCACAGGCGGCCCAAGCTGTAGCTGTGAGATGATCATCTTGCGAAATAAGACTCATGGCGAAATTATAAGAGTTTGTGTGGGATTATTTACGACCGCTCTTAGGAATAAAAGAAACTCTAGCCCTAGCCCCCGTTAGCCCTTCGTTAATCGCTCTGACGAAGGGCTAACGCTCGAAACGTCAGCTTTTAAACTCTTTACGGTGGCCAATTTACATTTTTAACTCAGTTGATAATACTAAATTACCCTGTTTTACTCTCCCACCGACCCAGCACCACAGTTTCCTCAGAAACTTACCCCCTCTATTAATTTTGTGTATAAATTGCGAAATGCTCAAAGGAGAATTTTGCCTTTACCAACTGAAAGTTGATCTGAAATTATAAAGGTTTCACTTGTCCTTTGCGCCGCGCGACAGTTAATTTAAGATGATAGATATGACAATTTATTTACAAAATAGTAATCCGAACCTTAATATACTTTCTTCTTAGTTATGGAGTTCATGGCCGGTGGCGACTTCCTTTCTTATTTACGTAAAAGCGGCTCAAAGCTGAACACAAAGAAGCTGCTAAAATTTAGTGTTGATGCTGCAGCTGGAATGGAGTACTTGGAGAGTAAAAATTGTATTCACAGAGATTTGGCTGCGAGAAACTGCTTGATCGGCACAAAGGACTTACTCAAAATATCCGATTTTGGAATGTCACGTGAAGTTGAAGAAGGTAAGATTTTGAAGTGCGTGTGTCTCATTCCCCATATCCGTCGGTCAGACTCGTCTCTACTAATATCTTGTTAACCAGCTGATGAAATTTCAATCCAAATTCTGGATAAGATTTATTTAAGACGACGTTTTACAAGTGAAAAATTAATCTTCCTCGCGTTTGCTCAATAGTGTATGAAGCCTCGAATATGAAAGAGATTCCCGTGAAGTGGACAGCCCCGGAGGCTTTGAACTACTTTCAGTACACAACATTGAGTGATATCTGGAGCTTTGGTATCTTACTGTGGGAGACGTTCTCATACGGAAATGTGCCTTATCCTGGAATGAATAACAGGGTGAGAAAACTAACACTTGCCAACTTTTTTTGTTATAAACGCACACGATTTATTTCTCGTAGCTTACAGTTTTCCTCGAGCTTGCTCTCGGCAAACTTTTTGCCTCTCGGAACAGGTAATATCTGTGGATAAATACCCATGCATCCCTTCGCGCCAAATGGAGGCTATATTTTACGTGTTTTCCAACAGGATTAACTTTGTCCAAGATTGTATCCCTAGTGATTCTCCATCCCCTCTAAGCTTGGCATCTGGCTTTCATTAGCACTGCTGAACGAGATGAACTCGTGGCCTTTACGCGAAGTCAGAGCGTTTTGATCAGGCCCACTTTGCCCGTTAGCGTTAGGTGCACGAAGTGTCATATACATGTCACACAGATCGCAGTTATTCCGCGGGCCTCGCGCGAAAGCTAGTATATTCTCTCGTGGGCTAGTCACTTCGCACCGTACAATTAACCGTGTTTTTTCCTTGCACAGGAAGCCCGTGACAAGATCGAGAATGGTTATCGAATGCCTGCCCCACAAGACACGCCATCGGCAGTGTATCAAATTATGAAGGATTGTTGGAATTTAAGTGCCGACGGTAGGCCACGTTTTACCGAAATTCTAAGACGTCTGAAGCAGATTCAGGATTATATCTGATTGTAATTCTAGTTTTGTATCCCTAACGTTGTGTCATGTTTTAGTCTGTTCAAGCTAACGTACGTTTAAGTTTATAGCCACCGTAATGTAAATAAAAAAATACCAGCTTTCCTTTAATTTTTGCCTTAATTAATTGATATGAACACGCTCAATTATTTTATTTTAGAGCGAATGCGTTAAGCGTTAATTTCAGCTGCGAAATTTTGGAGGCCAGAATCTCCCTCACTTTCAACATTTTCTGCAGTAAAATTTCGTCGAATGTAATTGATTGGAAGTGTTAGGTAGACAGGTCATCTTAAAGAGAATTGTCGTATCGCCAAACTCTGTTTGCAGGTGTGAGTTTTATTTCCAAAAAACCATACTTATCCAAACATAAACTAATATATTTACTCCAAAGAAAACCAGGCTTATGATAACGTTGGAGAAGATAGAAATAGGCAAACTAACTTTTAATCAACCGACAAACAACAATTTTAGGTTTTACCAGGGTGGTCAAGAATTGGATTTGATCTTTGAACCTTAATATCAGAACCACTTTGAAAATAGGAAAGTGATTTTCATTTGAGTGTAGACAGGAATTCAGGATTGCTTTGGGATTGAATTACTCCCGAATTACAAATTTAGGCTATTAGAAGAGAGGAAATCACAAACTGAAAGAGCTCTTGACTGTCACACAAATTCTCTTCGTCAGCGCCTCAGGAAATATAGAGAACAGTATAGAGAATATACATACTGATATTAGAGTGTGAAGGGTTAAATCAATCATAAGTTTGCTTGTTTCTTCTTTGAGTTATTACTGGGCCTGTGATTTTTCTCTTCTGGCCGTTGGTTATTTTTTGGTGTTGGTGTTTTGGGACTGTTGAAACACCGTGCTCCAAAGATGGGAGATACTTCTCAGAAATTTTGAAAATTGATTGGTTCAAGGAGTGAACGGGTTAGATGGGACCCTAATTTTAAGATTGTGTTTTATGTAAGTTCCAATGCAATTAGTTATTGATCAAGTCTTTCCATTAAATGGCAAGACATAAGAATTACAATGTATATCTAGAAATAATAGATAAATATTTACTATGAAAAATATGAACTTTATAAGTTGAAGAACGATTTTGAATTTTGGCGTCGGTTAAAGAGCGTTAATGAAATGATAATCAAATGTCAGAGTTGTATAGATATTGAATTAGTGAAAAAACAAAAAAAACAAAACAAAACAAAAAAAACTGTACCTAGCTTAAGTTGCCAGTGTCGATATACATGTAACAATTGTAAATCGGCCTGGAGAGGATTATATTTTCGTATTTTTAGTTAGTTTGAATAAGCAAAACACTAAATTAATTACCCCTCAGAACGCAGGGAAAATAAAAATTCGAGCTGTTTCATCTTTCACTTTATGTGTTTGCCAATTTAGATACCGAGATACATCTCTAGACCTCTTAAAAGTCAAATAACCGAAGTCGTTTGTGAACGAGAAGAAAGTGAAATTGATCTCTTTAAGTCTTCGATCCCAATGAACAGTTTACGACTGTTCCCTGTTCCTTCAGCTTCTTTGAGTTTAACTTGCTTTATGTAGATAAGTACATTTAAGTATGATGTAAATAAACGACTAACTTTACAACTCTACAGGTTTACTCGTGATAAGTTTATTTGGTTACACTATATCAACCTCGATGGTAGCGTAGAAGCTGTATTGATTGTGCGCTGGACTCTGACCTGCCCAGGTCGTTGTGATATGATCTTGGGTAAAATACTTTATTCGAAGAGTGCATTTCCACGTGGGGCCTCAAACGGGTATCCCGGACTGTTGGGGTCAGCGGATTAGCCATGCTTTATATTCATTTCTCGCCATAGAAACTTTTTTTCGAGGATTATTGAACAACACACACTTCGACTCCGACAAATAATTGTCACACGTGTTCGACATAAGTAAACTTGAACTTCCCTGAGGCTTGGTTGAAACTCGCTTACAACTAAACCATCCCAAAGACAGGGAATGCATGAAAAGCTACGTTTTATTTTTGCCTTAGTATTATGAACTTTGAAACATACTACATGGTTACTACATTAATTAATTTCCTTCGATTTAAACTACCATTGTAGCCTCGGTTCTTTTTTTTAGTAAAGGAAGAAAAAACTCTGGCGGTCTAAGGTTTTCGCATGCTCACAGGATAGGACATCAATTTTGTAAGAGAAGTTTCAAATGAATCAGTTCGAGATTAATACAGTTACAGATTACCGAAGAGCTAGAGGGATCTGGCTAGTTGTAAAGGGGAAGACCGCTTTTTGTTATTGACTCCACACGTAAAACGCGTTTGTAATATTCTTCATAGCTTTGTCTAGACCGCTCACTTCAGGAAAGTTTCGTAGCAGTATATCTTTCATGGTGGATGATTCAACCCAGCCCAGACCTTCTCTAGTGTAATACTCTTCCTTGTAATCGATTGTCAAAAACCTGGTGAGGAAAAATAACAGTCTTTTAGGAAAAAAATAATCTTGGGTCTTTAAAAGTCAAACTGATCAAGTTACAAACTCTTTGAAGTTGGGAAAGATTCGTCTTCAGTTTTCGGTGATGAAAATCGCTCGGAAGATCAGAAATTCGCCCTTTAAAAGCGCTGATATAAAAAAAGGAAAACGCTTTCTAAATTATCTGCCTCTTTCATCATTAATAGATCAGAAATACACCGAAATTGAAAACAAATCAGATCGCTTATCTCCAAAGAGCCATGGATGGATTAAACTTAGCATTTAGAAACTCAGCCTCGCCTGAGAAATTTCGGTGTGGTAAAGAAAGTTGTCTACAATTCTTAATTGATTAATCCGTGGCGAAGAGTTTCCTTTTGGCCTGGTGTCAAGGTAATTACTTTTTACTTTAGGTGAGGACTCTACCATGCACATTCATCCACGGTACGTTCAAGAATTTTTATGTAGAAAGTCATGGAGGTGTACAACTGTAAATTATCGAATCGCAAAGCTAACGTTGGGCCTGTGGGCAACACATACCTGTCGGTTTTAAGACGACGGTTGGCCATACACAGGAAAAGTTGAAACGGGGTGTCCCCAAACCCAAATCCGTCAGGGCGTGCTTCGGCTAAAGAACCAATCAGAAGGTCGACATCTTCAATGTTACCGTTGTAGGCCTGTTTGAGTTCTGCAGCAGTTACGGAGTCATTTGTAAGTGTTTCGAATGTTTTTGGTGTACTAAGGTTCAGCAATCGTCTGAACTGGTTGTACCGTGGGACCCCTCTCTCGCGGTCCCTCAAAATGTCAATGGTTGCTAAGTCAACGAGCTGAAAGAAGGGAAAAGATACACAAAAATACTTCTATACTGATACGAAATAAAAGAAAGTCTGCTCATCAAATAGTGTCTTAATTGAAAAGTCGCATTCCCAAATTTTAGAAGGGGGAACAGCTGATACTCTCGGGTACAGTTCCAAGTGAAATACAAGGAAAGGTGGTGGATATGAGGAATAACTCTCCAGAAACTCTTTCACGTTAATGTTTTTCCATCAGAAATAGATTGATGAAGAATTATCATTGGTGAAATACTTTTTAATTACAGCCTCATCACCCGTCGAATTGAAACTGACCTCAGTAAAAAAGTGAACACGTGGAAATGCCTAGTTTTTATGACTAGCAAAGCAGCCCCTAACAAGATAGTTTTCTGAGATTCGGACCGTGATATTCTCATTCTAACTGAAATTCTCTTCAAGCCTAGCCTCAATTCCGCATTAAGAGGAGGAGAAATCCTTTTTGTAGGTTTATTTTGACTATTTCGGTCCAGAAAACAAACAAACATGCAACAAACGATGTGTTGTATTACCCGTCCGCCTTTTTGGTGCTTTGGTATCCTCAGGTTCATGAGTGTTGTTGGATAGTTATGCAACACCAGTTGCCCTGACTTCTCCACTCCAAAAGTAAACAGAACATCATCTAATGGGTTATCGTCGAACACCCTTCGGGCATGGTCGAAAGAATATTTGGGGAGACTGTACCTTTTTCCGTTATAACTACCTAAAAAAAAAGTCAAAATAAAATAATGCAGTTCTTCAAGATTTCGAGCAAAATTCTTGTTATTTGAGAAGTTAACGGTTCGAAATTCAAACCATCCTTTGATTAAGTCTACAAAATAGTTAGCAGTTACATTTTGTTCTCAGTTGTTACAGCTCCGGTTGGCGGTGGTAAGTGACGTACGAATCGTATAGTGTCATATAAGCTACGGTTCGTTATTTATGGCCTATGGGCCCCCCCCCCCCCCCCCCCCCCCCCCCCATCCTTCCCCCTCCCCTTCCGGCGATAAATAATAAACGATCCCTGAATTGACAAAAAAAAATGAATTACTCACCTGTATTCATCTGACGGATGGCAATTGTATCCGGTAACAGCGAGTGCATTCTGTAAACAGACACGAATTCCTCCGTCAGAGAAAAAGGAACCCCTCTATAATCCGGTGGATTATTCACGTGCGTCGGAATACTGTTGGCGCCGATACTAATATTCATGCTCTGCAATATCTTTGCAACTCGTGAACTAACGTTACCGTACCACTGAGCTATCAGCGACTCGTTGATGAAGTCCGTGTTCAGTATTGCACCGGTCCATTCCAAAGTGTGGATTCTAACTATTTGAGCCGTGTTGATAAGCCTGATACGAAAAAAGTTAATGTCACTCCTGATTGAAAAAAAAAGAAAAAAAAACCAAACAAACAAAATAAGACTAGATAAAACAATTCGTTTTTCAAATAAAAATAAAAAAAAAAGAAAATGATAAATAATGGTATCCCTAAATGAAGTTTTTTTCATTAGAGTCGGTTTAACAGTGGAGTCTCACAATAAGTGAGAATGTGCCCCAACATTTTTCAGAGGGAAAGGGATCGGGGGGGATACATTTCTTTATCACAGGAATGGGAGAGGGGAGGGCGCTTGTTCAAGACCTGACCAGTAATTCTGTGTTTGCTCAATCATTTCTACAGCATAAATTCCATTGCATACTTTTTTATGCAGTATTATCGGTATTGTGCCACTTACCTCCTTTCCCCCACCCCCTTTCTAAATTATATGACTATCCTCCCATTAAAATAAATTACTCTGGGTTCGACTTGTTTTCGCTGTGATTTCATGGTAATGATAACAGACATTTATTGGTTGTAAGGTTCATATGGCGGTACCTGGCTGTTTGGAAAAGTTGATCATCTGTCCAATCAGGATGATTTTTGAAAAGCATATCGCAGATTCGGTTGTGTTCCCTTGTAAACAAGTTGTGCAGGATACTTAATCCAACCCACCAGTTTTTGGAGAATCCTGCATACATAAAACAGTAAGGTAAGAAATACGCACAAGACAAATTCCTATCATCCCAGGGGCATGTCACGTTGTCCGCAGCATATAAAAACGAAAAGTGTTTATTGAAACCCAAACCTACTGTTAGACAGAACCCTATCAGTCCTTGCTGACATTTATTCTTTTAACTCCCTTCTATAAATACGCTGAAAGTCTGTTAGGAGTTCTGGCGATGGTAAATTGAGTTGTTTTCTTCAACGAAATAATTTTCCCTCACCACACTTCTCTGTGGAAAGCGTGGAAAATTTTAAAGGAAGCTTGACAACTAAATGTTTGGACGTGCTTAAGAAAACTGGGTCGATTACATCAAACCGATGCCTAGAGATAAAATTTCTACCCGAGACGAATACAGGAAATCAAGTCTTCGTTTGATTAATCCTGTTTTACCTGGAAAATGTTTTCAGTTGCATGATGGGACTAAAAAAAACTCAGTAAATGATTTAACCCATGCAAAACATTTGATCGTACAGTCTGGTCGTTCAGATGAGAGTAGTCCCAAGAAGGACTGTTAATTATCGGAAGTAGTGACTGATGTTTAGACAACTTTAGCAGAAGTTATCACTAGTGTCCTGTGAGAAGTTGTCGGCCAGTAGAGTGTTAAATGTCCGGCTCGTACAATTAGTTTTGCGGTGCAATGCCTCTTAACTAACAAGGACGAGGCGAGCAACAAACAAGGAGCGGTTACAAATGATGAGTTTTTAGTCCCGAAAAGATTAGCTCGCGTAAAAATATTTGAACAAGGCACATTATCAACGATTGTCGTTCGTGATGTATTACCAGGGTCTTACCAGTGACGTCAATGTTGGTTTTAGGATCCACAGGTAGAAGACCATCGTTATCATCAACAATCAGCTTTCCACCAGCAAAGGAACGGACTCGCTTATGCGTTTCTATGTCACTGCCGTACAACTGTGAGCCGTCCCACCAGTGAGTGACGTCATTTTGATAAATAGGTGGGTCAGTATCTTCTCTGCACGAGTCTGGCTTCGTCCGAAGAACTTTCATGACTGTAAGAGCGGGAAATATTTGCAGTGATGTCCACTTACAAGGGTCAGGTAAATCTAACAGACTATTGAGAGTGGTTGGATTTCTAAGTAAATTCTGTTAGTGCCAGTTCTCACAGAACGAGAATGATCGAACACTTTCGAAATGAAAGACATCTTAAAAAATGAAGCAGATAAAATAAATACGTATCATTTGTGCGGATTTTAAAATTCCCTGCACGGACACGATGACATGAAGGACAGGGGCTAAATTTTCGGCTGAATCTTTGAAGAAATTTATTATTTATTATTTTACTTGTTTATTCTTCTTTTCTATGCATTTTACATTTTTATCTTTGTAAATACCTATTTTTTATCTATGCATTTCTTTGATTTTCTTTTTTCAAGATTGTGTAGCGCTATAGAGTAATATATATGCCGCTGTATAAATGTAATAATAAATTATTATTATTATTATTAATAAGAAACGAATGACCTATGAAGGAACCTCAGGCTTTGTGCTAGCGCCACTATGGAGTTATGGGCATGTCTACTCAGCCACAGCTGATCTTCAAATAGAATTTGCAAAATTTTTTTCGGTAAAAGGAATGGTCACGGGCTTTAGCAAAATTACTTAAAATATTTCCACAAGTTTTGACCTTATTTAGTGCTATTTTACTGTTTATTGTTTCCAAAATTGAGCAAAGTGGCAGCAAAATCAAGCAGTGATACACAATCTGTAATCGTACAAAAGTATTGTGGACTCCCAATTAGACATTACAAATCGACGCTTTCTAGATGAATTGAAATGTAGTAGTCTTCATTAACTGAAAATTGGAAATAAATTCTACAAAATTTAATGCATGTAAAGTTATAAACACATTAATCAATATAGTGATACTAACCTTTCATTCTTGAGTACAGTGAGTCGTTAGATTGCAGAGGAATTTTGATCTTATTTTCAGTAACTGGCGTTCCGTGGTCAAACCAGTCATGAACCATAAACTGAACCCAAGCTGCTGAAAGCAAATTTAACCAAGGGACTTCCAGAAACTTCTTTCGCTGTAATAGCCTACAGTTTAATAGATAAGAAAAAGGAAAAATTGGCTTACAAGACAGAGGATTCCACTTGTCGGAGTTTGTTCCAATTCAAGGAGCATGAAGCAAGTATGAGTATTTTAATCACCCCTTGGCGGGATGCCAACCCATCGAAGGGTCATCCTTTGGCAATTTTTTAGATTTCCGTGACAGTTTTCTGGTTCTGATTTAGGTGCCCCTGAATGGAGAGAGGCAATGTGAGGAGAAAGGTATTCGGGGAGTTAGTATCATCCCCAAAGACACGACACGATGACCTTTGCAGGGCTCAAAATCTTTTCATCTAGAGTCCAGTCCACTGGGCTACCGTTTATTTCAAAATCCAACCCTAAACTCTCTTACACTTCTTGTTCGTTGATTTAAGAACACTATCTGTTTGTTCTGTACCATTTTGGTCAGAATTGTAAGCTGAAAAAAGCTTTTTAGGGTTAGAGAATCCCCAAGATGATCATTTGCCACGGCAGCTTGCGCAAGCGTAGCTGAAGGCTTGCAATTGCACCACGGAGGAAAAAATTAATTTTATTCAACGTCGATAAGGGTTGAAAGAAGAAACAAGGAAAAAGCCTTGATTCCTCATGTGGACTTTTTTGTCTCTAAATATCCTTTTTCCTCTTTTAACCAACCCGCTCCCCCCTGTCATCTCTCCAAACTCCCAGAGTCAGTTTTGTAGGAAGGGTAGGAAATAAAAGAGTTCTATAAAAATACAATGCGTGTATCTTGAAACCTACGTTCTGGCCAAAATCCGTGGATCGGGGCTCAGGAGACGGGTTGAGTTAGTGTAGGTGTACTTTAGAGGGACGTTCCTACCAAACCGGTAAAACCTGCTTCCAGCGGCTGTGTTGTTTAGATCGTTACATGTTCCATCGATTGTCCGAGCTGCTTTCATTCTCTGTGTACAGAAATCTGCGGAAAGAAAAGGAAAAACATAAAATTTAGACAAAAAGAAAAAGTCTTGAATTGGTCCCATGGCAAAGAGAATTAAATTATTTGAAACTTCTTGTTTCATGAGAGTGCACATGGTTTGTGGGTGAAATATCTAATCAGATTATTGGGAAGAGGCCATTTTTTTTATAGATTTATAAATTGGCGTTCTTAGAGTTAATAGATATTCTTTAAATATCAAATAATTATTCCACGAACGCGCGTTGGATATGAGATGATAAGTGGCCAACAAGGTCCGTATTTTGCTATAACCATCCCATATCCAACAAGCGCGAAAACCCATTAAAAACGCCCCAAAATATCGATAAATCCTCCCAACTTTATTTTGTAAGAACAAAAAGAATGTTGCAATCTACAAAAACACTTTCGGTTTAACTCGTCTTCATGCACACGCATGGTATAATGGCTCATAACCCATAATGGCTAAACCAATGAGAGCTCTTGAATATTATTTTATAACGTACATGTTTTATGAAGGGAGGTATGTTTTGGTCCACCGCATCGTTTTTTTTTGTTTCCACTACACTTCCTGCGACATTTACATTCTTTGGACTTTGCTTGAATTTCGTAGCCCATACCACAATAGCATCTAGGATAAAGGGAAAATCCTCAAACATATGTATAATTTGACTTGAATTTACCCTTCGAGAACAAAAAATATTGTTAACTTTGGATTGAAGGAGCAAAAAATAGACTGATTTGTGTATTTAAGACACTATAGTATAGGTATATAAATAAACAGATATATAAATATGAAGTAGAAATGCAAACTAGAGGTGATAATTTTGGTAAAAGTGGGAAAAGGGGAAGTTTGTTAGACGCTTCAGGGAAAAATAAGTCACCAACGTCTGAGAAATTCCGAGAAAATTCGTCGATCGGCAAGTATCAGCAGACGTCAAAATGTTTATCATATGCAAAGTTACATACTTTCTTCCTCTGAGTAAGGCTGCATACGTGAACATGTTAGTTTTACATTTGTCAATGCATTCCTCGGGGGTTACTGCACTTAAACTCTGTTCATCAAATCCATAGTTTGTCAGCATTGATGCTTCAAAACATCCAATGTATCCTTCCCCTGCAATGATAGCATATTATTCTAGTGATTAATGATTTTTTTTTGTTGAGTTTGCGAATGTGAGCGGAAGGAAAATGTTTTGGAATTCACTGACGCATAGAAAGAAACAGTGAAGGATGAGGTCTGTATAACAGATCAATTTTCTTGAAGCACTTTCCAAACCATACCAAAAATAAAAAAGAAAACTATCACACTTACACTAACATTCATAGGACAATTGAAAAGAATGAATGTCTTCTTTGACATGATTTGCAATTGAAAAAGAAAAAAAAAATCAGATCATATGTAATAACTAATCACTGTTACCGTGAAGAAAATTACAGGACGCTTCAAGTGAAATCTGTCATCATGATATTTATTCAGTTTCTATTCTAGTTGTACAACCGTTATATCGTTTTAGAAGATAAACTTGAGGTTTTTCGGAGAAAAAAAATTGAGCATTTACGGTAAAAGACTCTTCTCCTCTTCTCCACCGAGTAAGAGACAAATTATCTTCAATGAAAAGAGAAACATCGATAACGTCCCCTCCTGCAGTTTCCATCAGATTAAGAGAAAATGAAAGAAAAGCCCGCGCAAAAGAAACTGAAATAAATTCCCTTCAATTATCCTCTCAAATTTGTTTGCATGCAACAGTCATGAGATGGAACATACAAACATTGTGGAATCTCACCCAACACAGGATCATTGCAGCGTCGCTTGACTGCAGGCAAAGGGTTTGGATACGAATCAAAAATATTGTGATCCAGCAACCTTTCTCTGACAAAAAATGTGTAAGCCATGGTCAGTACAAGCGACATCTGCCACCACACGTGACCTGGTTGTTTGAGAAATTCTTTAATCATAAAATATATGCGAAGGAGTCCAGGATCCATGATGGGTATGATCAGCGGTCTTTACCAATAAGGAACTGAAATCAAAATGAGAACAGTTTGAATTATTTATTTGTCTCTCCATCCTATGTGGGTTAACCAAGTAGTTAAAAGTAAAATAAAAATGAGATCCTTAGGACAATTAGCGGCAGGAAACAAAAAACACGCACGAATCAATAGGAAATTCTTTACGATACGAAAGTCCATTTTGACAGAAAACTTTGAAATTTCCATAATTAAAGGAATCTGAGTGGATTTCTCATGAAAATCTTGATCTTGTTCTTTCTTTAAACTCAAACTCCCACTAAACCCAATACTTGTCCTCCCTTCGCCTCCCATATAAGTGCAGTTAAGCCACGGCATGTAACAGCCTTCTTAGACGGAATAAATTTGAATTTGCTAACATCAAATTTGGTGACCATTGGAAATTGTTAAAGTAAAAAAAACACACACACACAAAGGAAATATTGGAAAGACAGAAAACAGAATACTGGTCTCAAAAAACTATTTCAAACCGTAGGAGGGAATTTCGCAAAACAGAGTCATTAAATACTACCGGTGGACATTTAAAAATGGGCTAATATGATTGGACTCGTATATCATCTTGAATTGGAAATCCGTACATGCTGTGCTCTTCTGTTAGAAACGAGTCTTTCATTAAAATTCACTGATTTTCGAAGCCCCTACATGATTTGTCGGCTTAAGATTTGTAAAGGCTTATCTTTGCCACGTAGAAAAACGAGGGTTTTTAATTAAATTTAAAATAATTTTTCTCACAATTACGCCAGTAAAATAAAGGACTCTAACTACTTTTTCCTTAGCCTTTGCATAAAATCGAACTGATTATAAATACATCTTTTTATCGAAAAACTATACTGAGTGCAAATACGAATTATAGGTGCTGTGAAGGCTTATACAAGTCATTTAAAAGTGTCAAGTTTTGAACTGAAACTCACCAGAATCCTCGAAGAAGAGCTGGGGAGGTTAGACGTTAGCGTCACTCACAACAAAATGCAAGTGGGCCACTGCGAAATTAGAAACATGCCATATGCAATGTAAAGGAAATGAAAATTCAATTGGATACAATGGGAAGGCAATTTCCGGCCCTTGATATTAATTGGCCTTGTTGTTCAAATACTTCATCGCAATACAGGAAGATCCGGTGATAATTAAACCATACATGGCATAAGAGCATTGTAAACATCTCTGTTTGTTTAATATTTTAATATCGTCCAAATGCAATTGGAAGTTCTCATAGATATTTAGTAGCTGGAAGAAGATCAGTCCCCAAGCGATTCCCTACCAAGTTTAATAAAAGTTCAAACAGAACTAATTAGTAGTTGAAAATAGGACCTGAAAAAAAAATTTTTTTTCAACTACTCGTTTCAGTAGTGTTCTTAGCTGCGAGGATCTCTTAATTTCATCTCTTCACCGCGATGCAAACATATTAATTTCATATATCTAAAATCATCATTCAGAACTAATTAGTTTTAAAAAATTTCAGGAAGCTTGCTATAAATCGTAAAATTGTTTCATGTGGACGAAAGTAATTAAAAATTTTAGTTTTGAATTGTATTTTGATTTTAGACAGCAAATCGGTTTAAGTTTGACGTCGAAGGTTTTGAGACCAGACCCACGTAATTTAGGTCTTTTGTTTCTCTGTCAGGTAAGAACTCGTTAACCTGTTAACTTACAGGCCTGTCAATCTTCGAACGACTCTGTCCACGTTTTGTTTGTTGAGACTCAAGATTTGATTCTTATTAAGTAAATCTACGACACAAAGAGTTAGGATGCTTTGTTGAAATAGATCAAAAAACCTTTTTGAATTTCAACTTTTAAAAGCATAAATTCAATATTAGCTAGTAACTTATGGCTGTAATGAATTTATATTTTAAAGGAAATGATTGCATCTCAGATGGTAAGAGCCGCATTAAGTCTGATCTACGCATCACTTGTTGATATCTGAGCTGTGTCCAATATGATGCATCGTTACAAATGAAGAGTTTGCGCTCTCCACGAACTTTGCGTTTAAAGCGAGGAACAATGGCAGTCGACAAGATAGATTCAACAAATTAATTTCATGGAAGATATTTTTAGCTGAATATCAAGACTCATAAAACATTTGGCAATAAAAACGAATTGGTTTCAGTATGTTTTCTTAATTTTATGGTTTGGAATGCCATTTCTACTTAATGGTGATTTTGTTCGGAATTGTTGCATTTAAAGGGCTACGTAACTCATTTACCAGAGCTTTTAGAATAGGAAATATTTTCATTGATTTCATTGATTTTGAATACCACAGATAGTTCATTTAAAAAGTTTCAATCTTCTCGTCATTGGACCAGGAAATGTGCAATAATTATTTCAAAGTGTTATTAAAGAGAACTTATTAGTTCAAGGGTATGAATCGATTCCGTAAAATGACCGCACTTTTTTTTCCAATGATAAACCTCCCATGTTAGCTCGAGACTGCTTTGGTCCAGAAAAGACTGCCAAAAGTATTGTGCACCACTCATCACACTTTTGCGAGAATTAACTGGTATTTGTAATATTAGTTGTTATTACTTAGGAAATCTTCGCGAGAAAGTTGACGCCGAGCCTATAAAATTATCCCACGGACTGCTTAAAGTTAATTTAAGATTTAGGGTTAATTTCTAGGATATGAAAAACTGAATATGCTTCCATATATTATTCTTCGTTTCACCAAGGCTTTTTGAAAAAAAAAACTTGCCATTTCATAGATTCTTCAGTAATGGCCAAATGATATTATACGATCAGTTAACATGGACGCATAGATCAAGTTTTCTGATTTTTCTGATTTTTGTAATTTCCAGGTATTGTGATCAAGGTAAACTATATTTATAGAGGAAAGTATGATGGCGATTAAAACTTCAAATACGGGAGTGATAAGCTCGTATTCACTTCTCTCTAAAGATTCAGATTATCAACGATTTCCATTGTTATCTCTGATCAAATTTTGAAACCATATTCACCGCTCACCTTGATTCACAGCGGAATGAAGATAGTTGATCAGTTCACTCTGATAAAACGGACCTGTAACAGTCTTCTTAGAAGGTTAAGGCTTTGGTTGAACAAAAATTAAAGTTTTACGACCTTAGAGGGAAGTAACTTAAGTACTCTCGAAGAAATTATATCTTAACAATGGAAAAAAACAATTAAGTATGCCACTATGTAACCTGGGAAGTTTAGATTTTTAATACCCCTTGGTGAACATCAAAGCTTTTTCAGTAGAACTCATTCTTAAAAGGGTACGATCAATCTCGTTCCTAACTGAAAGTGACGGTAAGCGATTTTTTAGAAGACGTCAGTAAAAGCTTTATATTTAGAAAGAGCCGCTTCTGTGATTTCAACAAGGTTTTGCTTAGGTTGCCTTAGGAATTAAATGTTCCCTGTTATAATGCAACACTTCACCAAAGAAGAAATAAAAAACCTTCTCAGGTTTTTTCAGAAAACGATTTCTTTTTTGACTAAGAATACGGATTGTACCAAAAAAAAAAAGGAATACAAAACGAAATTCATGGCATTTATCGAAAACTTTTCGTCACTAAGGCTTACTGTTGCATCAAACGCTTCACACTTAGTACAATAAACACCATTATTCATTTTAAAGACAATAGGCTTGGAAATGACGTTTATCGACCTTTACGTCAAAAGTCATGGTACACAGATTATTTGATCCAAAAGCCTTATCTGTACTTGATTGACAAGATGTAATTGAAAATAATTCATTCGCACTAAAGCTAAAATTAAAGAAGTTGACTTATCTACGGTGATTCTGTAACGATCACACTCTTTCTAAGGGAAAATTACATTTAAAAAACAACTTGATGGGAAATATTCACTAAACCAAGACTTTCTTTGTACTTTGCTATGAACTTTCTTATTTGAAAACGAGAAAGTTGGTCATTGTATGGATTTTCCGAACTGTCACTTATTGCAATGTACCTTCTGAGACATCTGCTAGAAGCTCAATTTTTCCGCGTCTATTCATGCCACGAAATGTTCGATGAAAATCATAAATACCCTATACGTTTCTAACTTGGTGGGTCTTTGTTTTCTGTCTTCGGACTTCCGTTAGAGTGCCAGATCTCAATAATTGGAAAAAAAAAAGCTAATAATTTTGCGTGTTTCACTGTATGTCAGGACACACACGAAGGACAAAAGAAGCCGGAAAATTACAGAATTTTCAAGACAGATTTATTGTAATTGAACATGGTATGTCCGTCTTGCGTGTATGAATAGTTGAATCATTTGAAGTAATGTTGAGAAGTCATCTCTTTCATATTCTACCTATTTTAAAATTTCGTCAACTCCCATATAAAATGAATTAAGAAGGACACACAATATTTCCAAAGTACCCGTTTATAGGGAAAAACTGACAAGCTACCTGTGCAAACACTTATCATTCTTCGGCTGAATGTGAACAATTATTTGGGGAGGAAATTGTCTTTAAATACGATTTAAACATCAAATTGTTTTAAAGGTTACCGATGTTTACGAATGGCTGGAGCTATTGAGTTATAACACTTTCTATCTTTTAATTCTGTGTTTTACAAGATGTATAAAAAAAGGTCCCTCGGTCTCACTGATAACTTGACAACGGTTTCAATCAGACGTTACAACTTAACATTTAGACTTAAAGCTCTGTCCTTCATTTTTGGCTTAATGTCAAGCAAAGGCCAGAAAACCTTCGATTATAATATTTTCCAGTATATTCTAGGGAAAAGTTTAAGAGAAATACCACAAGTCAGAGAAAGAACTCTTCTTTGGGGAAGTATATGTCAAAACAAACAAAAGCTGAGCTTGTTTCAGCTTTAAAAATGCATAGTTTACAAAAATCACCTAAAAATGAGAGCACACTTTTAAAGACTTACATTCTGTTCGTACAGAGGTGAAAAAAGCAGTTTCCCTGTTTCTGTGCCTCAGTTTTGAACTGTTTCCTCAGAGACAACACAGATCTGTATTTTATTTCGGGTCAACTGTTTACACGCTGCGGTTTAGGAGCCAATCAAAATGCAAAACGTAAAACTTTGCTCCATCGTATTATTCCACGAACATCGAAATTAAAGTTTTTTCAAAAGTGATGGAAACTTGACAACTTAACCTACGCAATGTCAAGCTAGATTGAAAAAATTATCACTTTTTGTTTCTTTTTCTTATGTTAATAAGCATGGTAAAAAATCTTGGAAAGAAAAAAAATTTCCTTTGGGATCTCTTAAGTAGACTCATCGTTCATTTGATATATTACTGCAAGATTGTATCGATCAACTTATATGTTGTCTGGGTACCCTTATAATCTACGTGTGGAGAGGGAAATAGCTCTTATACGTATGTATCTTTTATGATTTCGGTGTGGATATATTGATAAGATATTTACCTAATTTGTTACACTCTTTGCATTTCGAGATGGACATGTTTCGTAATGGCGTACACGTCAATAATTTTAAGTGCTACCTTTTGCGAAAATAATGACATGCTCTATAACTAAAGAACCTTTGTATCCAAATTAAATAAAAGTGGATTTGATCACAATCAAATACATTTCTTTTCATGAATAAAAGACCTTAAAACAAGCTAAAAATCCTTATCCAAGTGGTGAGGGTAAATAAAAGTTACCTTTCTTGGCTGTTCAGAGTATTGAGTGAGAACTAACCAATGGTTTTCATTCCGTTCCATTAAAGCTCCCATGATTTTTTTTAATGTTGTGTAGCCCGAATACAAACATAACCGATGGAAAAAAGCGTTTTATTTCTCTGCCAAGATAAATAATTAAAATTGCAACCGAAAGCCGGATAATTTCAACCGAGTTTTCTGTTCACACTGAGAAGTAGTTGAAATATTTTTCGTCTCTTCACGCTAGATATACTTGAAAATATTAACGTCAGCAGCGGCAAACGCAAAAAGAAGAGAGACTTCAGCGTTTCCAATTTCTCCTGTGTGATTTGGACGAGCCTGTTAGGATCAGTTTCATGTTTTTCAGTTGAGTGTCGGAAATACTTACTTCGATTCGTGATTGGTCCAGAAACTTCCGCCACATTCTCAACCAATGAGATTCAAGAATAAAACCAATCGTAACTGACCCACTCACGTTTTCCCGCCTTTAAAACAGTTTCTTGAGTTCTTATTGGCTCTTTGAAATATTATTTTTCATTGATTGGTTATTGTGATTACTTTGGTTTCAGTTTCACGACACATAATCAAAATGCACTCTATACTCAAATATAAATATAACAAAATTTTCCTATTGCTGTAGACAAAATTCCGGAAAGATTTAAACAGCGATTGCAAAAATTCAATTTCTATTCCATAGAGAAAACATTATTTGAATTTTAATAATGATATGTGTTAGAACATTAACAACCGTCTGATTCGAATCTCGACCTCTCACAAGTAACCGGGTTTATCAATGAAGAAACAAATGATAAAAATCCGAATATCTCTCTGGACCCCATTAAATTTATCCCTTGTCTACCGAAAGAAATAGAAAAAATCCTTAGCTTGCCTTGTACAACTAATTTTGTCAGTATAAAAAACCAAGGTGAATCTATTAAACGGATATGAATTGTGTTGCTTGATCGGAACGAGGTTATGATACCTTTGACGGAGAGTGGCTTGATTGCGACTGGATTTACTGGATTCAAGGCGAACCTGTCACTCCTCGGCCTTTCCAGCAAAGTTTTATCACAGTTACCGCTTTTAACCAGTACCTTGTCACCAATGTGACTTCCAGTAGGACGGAAGGCAAAATAAAGTGTCGAGAAATACTGAGAGCAGTTCAGGAATACTTACATTTGTGTGATATTTTGTTTGATGACGACGTGTCCATAAAGGATATCTGAATATTCAGAGTCTTTGATGTAAGAAGCTTGTCTTTTGAACACGTTGTCGTAAAATTATTACCGCGAGGCCTTTGTCATTAAAAAGGTTCAAAATAGGAGATGTTACGAATCATTTCAAAGTAAATTAGTCACTACCATGGGTGTTATGATTTCAAGCATCTCCAGGGCGGTTGTTTAAACACAGCTTCCTCAACTTCGTTCAAAGTCTTTCTTCTATGGACCACATGTATTCTTTTATTTACTGTTGATTTTACACCGCTGTTTTGCTATCACACCTTAGGGAGTAAACTAATATCAAACGACGGTAGAATGAATAAAGTTCCCATTTAAATTTTTTAAATTCTCCTAGTCGTGCAAAGCTAACGAACAATTCTTTTACCAAATTTATAACAATACGTTTAATTAACCAATACGATAGCAGTTTGCGACAGGACACGAAAGTCAAGTTGACTGAGGGAAGTCGCAAGTGGTAACGATAATTTGTTGCGTGTAAGATGGAGAATCTTTCGTAAAATTATTTGACCGTGCGACAGAATTTTGTCTCTGTAACAAGTAGTTAAAATTCAACCTGGTTAAACTTTGCGCAATAATAGCAGTGATCATCTACACAAATTAAACTATTCCGATATTTTTGTTCAAGTTGTTTTTTGTAAGATTTCGAAGACGAGATTCTTGTCAGAATAGTATTGAAAGCTGATTACAAGCACAAATCTGGTTACACGAATCGGCTCTTTGATTCATTTTCAATTCAGTGAATGTGAAAAGTATATCCTGAGTCGTTTGCTTTTGCTCTTCTTCGCTTAGTGATTGGTCCAGTAACTCTCAACCACTCAAATGCAAAACTCAACTCAGTGACAACCCGGTTGCGGTTGTGTCCTCGTGTACCGGTACACAAAAGAAGGAAACATGTATGGTTATGAAAACAAAAGGACAGCCCCCCGGTTGCTATTGTCTATGGTCGCTTCAGAGCAGTTTACTTGCCATCTGCTCTCTTTTGGACCCCTTAGAAATTTTTCTCTTCGTTCCGACTGGCCGTCGTCATTGATTACTTTGGTTTTGTCTCTAATTTTTCTCAGCCAGACCACTAAGTTGAAATCAAAAGTATTGAGCAAAGTCTGCGGAATATAATGTATAATCGTCAGCTGAAGTCAGTAAATTTCCTAAGCTCGTACTATTGTTTCATTAGATGGCAAATGAAACATTACTGACAAAATACTGAAGAAATTCCAGACAATTTGTAAACAAAATTTCTGCTTCAAGCTGATTCAACCCAACAAAACATCACAGTACACGTTGTAAAATCAAAATTAAAAAACACCAGACGAATTTTCATTCGCGTAAACGCTCTAATAGATCGCATGTTTGACGCCTTTGTATAAAAAATCCTACAATAACTGGGCCCGTCCGGATTGTGCTCGTTAAACGCCAGAAACTTGCTCACTGGGAATGCTTAAAGTTGCTAAAAAAATTGCCAAAAATCTTAAAATTGCTACTTACTTTTCAAAATTTGCGACCTAAATTTTTTTTTATTTTATATTGATATCGTTATTCACAACAATTGCTAACATCGGGCAAGAGAATTAGTCTGAAACCTAGCGTTAAAGAGTTGCTCGCAGTTACGGGCGATATTTAACGGAACTAAAGACGTCCTGCCGAAAGTCATTTTAGCCGGTTATCCGTTATAATATTAATTAATATTTGATAAATATCGGAATAGGCCCGCGAAACGCTGTGAAATGATATGTTATGTGTCAATTTTTTTTTTAATGAAATTGTCAGCTTTTTCGCGCTCTAAACCTATATCTTGCTCAAAAATACCTCAGAAGGGCAAAAAATTGCTCGAAAGTGCCAAAAGTTGCTCAAAAGCTGCCAAGCACAATCGGAACAGGCCTGATAGTAAAAGGTGTGTGGGTGAACCTGTGAAAACAAAAACAATTCAAATATATGGGAGAGACAGAAACAGTTAGTTCGCGAGCGATTATATTAGCTACCCTATGTGATTGCTTGGATTCGAAAGGTTGCGAATACTCAATCTCAACAAGTGCAAGTAGGCGATTCAAACTCCACGGATTGATTGGGAAAAAAAAGAAAGCGTTCAGCATCACAGTTCGATCAGCGGGTTGACGGCAAGTAGCAGAGATCTTGTGGACCAATTGCAGACAATTGTATACTGATTTGTGGACTGAATTGTCGATTGAGCAGTAGTTTCGAACTGAAACATGGGTTACAACAGATTGTAGCTTTCTAAACGCGCTTACTAAACGTGGGTAAAAATGTGTAGAATATAGATAATTGAATATAAACGTGGTGAAATTATAGTGTACTTGCAACTAATTCTAATTAAATGCCAGATCGATTAACTTCAAAATGAGGTCAACTCACTTTTTGAGTGATGACATTCGGATATATCGTTGTTCTAACTAACTAAAAAAAAATTGAACAACGCTCATCGTTAAGGAAGCGTACTGTAGTTCGCACATGGCTTACATATTGAAACACTTTGGAAAGATGACTTACTTTGGTTACGTTTGCACCAAGTTGTCCACACTGGCAAGAGCTATAACAGACTAAAGTGCCTTCAATTCATAGATTTATAAACAGATAGAACGTGATTAGAATGCATTGGTACAGAGATGAATCATTTCCTGACGGAAGGCTCCGTCCCAACGCATAGGATGACAATCAAAAGTCATGCTTCAGGAGTGGCGGAAAGTTCAAAGTACGCCCAGTTGAAAACATTATTGAACCTGTATTAAGCTTAATACATTTTCCACAGAATAGGGGTCAAACGCGATAAAAACGCCAATTTATACCATAACTGATCCCTTAATTTACAGTTTATTCAAAGGCTCGCTCAAAAGTGCATCGACTAATAAACAAAATCAACAAAATGGTTGCGTAACGTAAAAACACAATAACAACACAACACAACAACAAAACTAACTTAAGACTTGCGTGATGTTCCCACGTAATGGGGTAATTTTGTTAATTATCAACCGAGTTGATAAAGTAAATCAGCCACCGTAGTGTTTTCATGTTGAATTTTCGAGCGTTAACCCTTTTTCCCTATCGCTCTCTCGAAGGGCAAACGCTTGAAAAGTCAGCTTTTAAACTCTTTACAGTGGCCAATTTACTTTATCAACCGATTTGATAATTAAACAAATTACTCCGTTATACTCTCCCACCGACTTGATTCGTTCGCACGTGATCTTTGCCATAAAATTCCTACGGACAAAGGTAATTTTCAATGCGTTCAGGAAATATATCCGCAAAGTAAATGCATTGGTTCCGGGAGATAAACACGGGATACAATGGTGGGGAAGACAATTCAAACTGGCCTTCAGCCAAGGGTGACCACAAACGCTTGATACAGGTGAACGCCTAATGGAAGCAAAAATTACCGCACACTACAGGGGGTACGAGTATCGAGACTTAAAACATGGGTGACCGCTAAGACGTTGCTGCTTTCTGCAGACTCGACTGCATCGAGTACCTCACCTCAGAGATTTCAAATTTCCTAAGTGACTAAGCGTTTCAGAACTAAAACACGATACTCGTGGCAGTTTTTGAACCTCTAAGTAATTTTCGAACACTTTTGGGATATGACTGTGATACCAAAATCAACCCTGGTAATAAAGGCTACAAAACGCCAAAATGCCAGTCAGTTAGTGAGTCGGTTGATCAGTCAGTCAATCAGTCAGACAGCAGGCTAATATGTCAATCAGCTCGTCGATAAATCAGTCGGTAAGTAAGTCATTCCATCAATATAGGACCGTAAGTCAGTCAATAAGCCCGCAAGTCAGTCATTCAATCGATCAGTTAGTCATTCAGTCAGTGAGTCTATCACACAGTCAGAACTTTTTTGCGTTGCAATCAGTACTTTGTTCACCTTCTAAGTATGAATTGATCATTTCAACTAAAATTCAATATTCTCTTTGACACTTCTTTTATTCGCTTCTACTACATCCTGTACTGCTGAACAGTGAACTTAACTCGAGGGGACACAGGGTGGCTGAGATGTTAAACGCACTGTATATTCAATTCTGGAGGTCCCAGGTTCAGATACTTAACTCCTCCACAGTCCCAAGTCCAACTCCTCGCCTGTCCTTTGTAAACAGCCAACTCGTCGGCCTCTTGCCATTTAAGACATTTTCTATTAACGCTATTCATTTATCTACAGTGTCAATATTAGCACAGGAATACTTGTTTTATCTTATTTAGGGGGACCCTTTGTATTTCTAGCGATGCCTTTTCCCGGATCGTTCACTTTAAATACATTCTCTTTTTATCCAAACTCTTTTATGGGCTTCTAAGTAAAGGTTGAAGGGCACCTTACCATTTTTATAACCTTCGTTTCTTTTTGTTTTCTTTTTTCATGAAAACTTCCAGCTTTAAAATGAAATC